GTGACATCATGGCTCCTTAATGACAGTGATTACGGTCAGCCTTCTCAAGATATGCTTACACAAACAAAACAACGGGCTTTATGACAAGCTTATCATCAAATGGGAGCACTTTTGTTTCGTGTGTCTTTCTCATATTTCTCCGAATAAACTCATCCACCATTTTGTATTTGTCAAAAGGGAAAACTTTGGCTTCTGTATTTTCTATTGTTAAGATACTACAAGACTTAGTGGCAGTGCGTCTAGTTGTTTTATGTCTCTTTAAGGCATATAGACCTGTTAAAGTTGTTAAGCAGGACACGACCTGTTGTAAAAGCAAACTGATATATTGGCATATTAGTTCCACTTTGTAAACCACGAGATCTTGATATCAAATGAACCGCACCCTTCTTCAGTGAGACACACTTTGTCTTGAGTTTAATTCAGAACACCTTTATGTAATTCGTACAGTGTTGGAAGAATTACTCAGATTATTCACTTTAGGAAAAGTAGCAATACTGCAAAATACTCAGTTCACCTCCTGGGCCACTGCCGAAGTGCCCTTGGGCAAGGCACCTAACCCCCAACTGCTCACTGGCGCCGGCTAGACTGGCTGCCTCCGCTCTGACCTCTCAACTGCGTGTGCATGTGTGCATATAACTGTGTGTGTATTTGTATATGTATGTGCATGTTGTAAAAAGTGTGTCATGTATTACCTGTATAAAAACGCATGTGTGTGTACGACAGAGTGGAAACTGAATTTCCCCCTCAGGGATTAATAAAGGTCCATTCTTCTTCTTAAAATTAAAATATATGTATTCATAATTTTACTTAAGTAAAAGTGAAAAATTAGTAGCATCAAAATATACATTATATTATATATATTAAGTACCTAAAAATATGCAGAAAGGCCATTTAATCACCATTTACTTTAAATTATTTTATCAAAATTATTTGTGGATTAAAATGTTCATTACTTCAATGTTGTACTTACTTTATACACTACTGTTTAGCCCGACCTAAAATCATATATGATAATATATGTATAGATTTTGTATACTAATAACTACATCTGTAAAATAAATATAGTGGAGTAAAGATATAATGTAGCATCATTTGAAAAAACATTTAAGTAAAGTTCAAGAACCTCAATGTGTTACTTATTTACAGTCGGTAAAATAAGCGTTTTCTTCTACAGTCTCTCAGATGTAAAACTATCTTGAGTTGCTTTAGTATACTGTCACAAGATCAGCTCTTCCTCTGAATAATTTCCGGCCAAATCTAGTTTTGTCCGCTCTCAGAGAGATGTGTGTGGGCGGCCGAAATGCCTTCATGCTCAGCTGAGAACCACAACAATTTATTTATCTGACTTTAATATCACAGGAGGACTATGGGAGGCTGTGGCTCAGTGGTTAGTGTGCTGAACTTCGATTCAGGGGGTAGCAATTTCGAGTCCCACGGCAGTCAGCATGTCGTTGTGTCCCTGAGACACTTCACCCCAAATTGCTCCTGTGGGGATTGCCCACAGTATTGAGTATGTAAGCCGCTTTGGATAAAAGCGTCTAACAAGTAACATGTAATGTAATGTAGGGAGATTCAGAGCTTCAAGTACATTAATGGGGAGGAATATGCTCCAGAAATGTGTAATACTTGTGTTTTCTAATATCATTCATACTTCCAAATACCTTTCAGCGATACAGAGGAACACCCAGTGTGTTTCAGTGTTTAAAGAACAGAGCGTGGAGAGCTAATATGCAGCTTTGATAAAGGTGAGCTTCACCACAAATATTTGCTCTGTGCCGAGGGTGTGGTCAGCCGTCTCTGCCCTCATGCTTTCCAGAACTGTGAAGTAGGAATAAACTGGTGCACTGGTAATGTATTTCTTTAAAGGCTTCCTCGACTAAAAGCAATGGGATTTTTCCATTATATTTAAACATTTTGTCGAAAATAAGCTCTGTGGCAAACACATGTTTATGATACTTCCATGTTTATTCAGCAGGATAATCTCCACATATGTACACAACTTTTAGCTACCGTGGATGCATGCCCTCATGTTACCAATGCTAAGCTAAAAAGGGCCTTCTTTAGTCACTTGTTAGCAATGTTTTTAGTTAACCCTCCTATAGTC